TATATATATATATATGAATATAAAATGGATTTAAAGCTTATTACATGTGTTAAATGGTATCTTCTGTACAACAGTTATTGTAAACACGGTGAAACTGCGTGTCTTATTTTTTGAATCAAAAAATAAAATTTTCAATCTTGTAAAATAAAAACTACTGGAAAGTTTCAAAATAATGTAGGATCTTAAGAAGACATAGAAATCAGTAACTAAAATTTAAAACAAAGGCAATGATGAAATCGTTTTGAAATTTCAAGCAACGAATTCATAGAGATATCAGATATAGAAGTTCGATATCTTATTTGCAGAAGCTACATCACCTGTAGAGAGTATTTCTGGAGTATCAAGTTATTTCATCCAGTAGTTTGTTCACGCAATGCAATTTAACAAATCATACAACGAACCTAAAACCGAATAGGAACCATACAACAAGTGTTGCGAATCAACGCACCCAGGTCTCAAAAAGATATTGGAATCCTGTTCGATCGTAGTTGGCGTTTATACGAATGTTTATGTAATCATAGACCTCTGTAATTGTAACAAATAGCGTTTAAAAACAGTTTACGTTAGCGTATAAGTACGAAACACATTTTACATATAATAATGGTTATTGTTAAGTGACCTGACCAAGATAAGCTTTAATAAAGAAATCAGCTAATTTTATTCCATGTTTTTCGTAATTTTGAAATAACCTTATTACTTTGAAAGCAATGTGTGTTTTCGATAAAGGAGAGAATAACGAAAATTTTGTGGATAAAAAAAAAGTATCAACGGAAAACAATGAATAGCATGTCTGTGATGGCTGAAAAATAATCACAAGATAAAAATCCATCAGGTCCATTTGCGAATTGAAACAGCTGCCTTGTTAGAAGGGCAGAATGCGTCATTTTTACGAAATGTTTAGGTTCTGTTTTATAATTATTTGTACTAGTCATCGTTTGTGTATGATAAAAAAGCATGAGATGTAATTTTTTGTGAGTGGCTTGATCCAGTTTCTGATATTTGTTTAGTCATCAAGACACCTTTGATATAAAGGGAAATGTATAGACTGTAAAGAAACTAAAGTGAATGTTGTAACAGCTGATGACTTATTATAACGTTTTCAGCAGTGTTTTTGAAAATTTCACTTACAATATAGTTGTGAATTTGAATTAGTTCAAAATTAATGCAATGAAACGCGCATTATGAGTTAATTTACCCCGTTTGATAAAAGTAGGATCAAGGAAAAAAAAAGGGCAACATCACTTGTTTTGGTGTTAAATGAATGCACTTGCAGAACTAGTAGAAGAAATGTTCCTTTTGATAGTAACGCTTTGGCTCATCTCACCCTCTGAACAATATAGTGCTAGTCAAGCGCTTTCAACTAGTAATATAGTTGCCACGCAATCATCAAGTCCTACAACTTCATCATCCTCCCAAGAAAGTAAGTTTTTAGAAGCTAATCGTTTTTTCATAACATAGACAATAAACATATATTTTTCGTACAAATTGTTTGGGAATATTAAAATTATTGCTCTATTGTGTTTGATTAGATTTGGATGTTTTATCTTATTTGTTTTTATTGATCTAATAGTTTAAATAGTTGATAAATAATATGAATGATTGGCATCACTTTAACTTGAAAAGTAAATAATTAATTAAAATACAACGTTTTAACGTCAACAATTTCCACTTTATAAATAAACTACATGATTGAAGATGACTTAGATACGTCGAAATGTGTAGTTTTTTAGTGTGTTTTTTTAAGTGAATGATGCTGATGGCGCCACTAAGTATATTTTAATTGTATACAGTAAAACGTTGTAGTTTAGTTAATTTGATTTAACAAATGTCTGAAGCCTATTCTAATCAGTGACATCATCCATATTACCGTTATTTCATGCAAAATCCAATAAGTTATTAGTTACTACTTTGGAATTCTTCCTTCTTAGTCTTTTTTTATAGTTTTTTAAAACCTAAAATGTCTGTGTCTTTGTGTTTCGGAAAATTCTTAAAAATGACTTTTTCATGTTATGTTTTTGTATGAGATTTGCATGATGTTTTTCACTTTACTAAATGATTCTATTTAAAGCTATTCAACCTTGAAATTTTAATTAAGGTAATGCTTCCAGTTCTGCCAAAGAACTTAGACAGGTCATTTTCAGAAGCAAATACGTAAATCTTTACAAATGTTTTAGCCATAGCGTGAAACGCGTGTACAGAAGAAATCTATATTTACCGATATTAACACCAGATTATACCACTTTTCAGGGATATTGTCAAATTTTAGAGGAATGATCCTGGAAAGAAACCGATCTAGGAAATGTCTTTGATAAGGCAAAATTCTGAAACTTCCCGATATATAGCATTTTGTTGTGTGCAAAGATTACATATATTATTTTCCCACATGAATTTTAAACTTTCGAAGTTCTAATTTTGGAATATACTGAATCCGGTTGAAAACGTGGGCTAACTTAGCCTAGATGTTATTTTTTGTAGCTCCATTGGTCAATGAACTTATCTGCTACTTCATGGGATAGTTTCATTGTGACCTCTTGCATGGGAGATACTTTTGTGATTGTCACATGTTTTCTGATCGATCAGCTACAGAGAGAATGTGTTTTGTGATTTTAAGTTTTGGAGATTTTCAAGAGATTCATTCTGACTTTTGAGGAGAGTAGGCTGACTCGTTTCTGTCCTGAGAGAGTTAAAATTTGCTGGTGAAATTTCATAAGAGTCCTTATCTTTTATTCGTTTATTTTGCTGATCATATGAGTTAACTTTACTTAAACAGTTGTTACACTTTTCTTTACTAGCTAAATCACATCGCAATAGTCTACCCTAGTGTCAGATACCTTAAGTTTTATTCGCTAAATGCCTCCCGGTGGCTTAGCGGTTGGTCTATGAGCTTTTAACGCTAAAATTCGAGCTTCGATATTCGCAGTAGGCAGAGCATAGATAGGCCATTGTGTAGTTTTGTGTTTAACAACAAACAAACCAGATATTCGCTAAATTAAGCATTAATATCATTCAAACTCCAACATTGTGTCTTAATTAAGAGTAAAAAACAAAACTGTGTTACAGAAACTAGTCAGCTGTAACTAATAAAAAAGATTTTACTTTTCATTGTGTCAAAAACGTTGTTTCTTTTCGTTTTTTACTCTTAATATAGTAGCACAATGTGCTTGAAAAGAAATGATACTGTCTTAATATTAATTGTTTCTTTAAATCATTTTGTAGCAAATCACTACACTTTTCTATCCTGATCAAGCATGGCCTAAAGTTAGAGTACTCGACTCACAATCTGCGGGTCATGAGATCGAAACCCCGCGTCGAAAATGCTAACCCTGTCAGCCTTGGGAGCATTATTATGTAACAATCAATCCTACTTCTTTTTGGTTAGCAGTTCAAAATTTAGGACGGCTTTGCCATAAACAAACTTTTCCTTTCACATACCAAGTCCATGAACTCCTCGTTTATGCGAATATCACGTAAATGGTGAAGTTATATTCTTGAATTACCACAATTTTATACTTTAAAATGTAACTCCCCTCCCAGTATAATGTCTCTGATTTTGATAATATATCCTCTAGGGTTTTGGAATCACTTTGTGCCTGTTGGATGTCATTGTTAGATCTAAGTATTAAGCAGGTCATTTACATGTTTTAATTATTGGATCTAAGTATTAAGCAGACCATTTACAAGTTCTTTTTACTACCAAGATAGTTAACTTTGACAGGCTCATTCGAAATTGGCAAATAAGTATAAAATGTTTCGTGAACAAAATGATGTAGTGATGAACTTTATAGTCATATCTTCCACTTTTCTACTATTTTTACTCTTGCTTTTCCTAACTTTTTAATAACGGTAACAAAATCGTTTTATAACCTCTGTTTATTACATTGTCTTTGAGAGTGATTTGTTCTGCTCGCTTGACTCAATTGTCCATCTCTGTCTCTGCCTGTCTGCAATTATCTATCTATCTATATACCGTCACTTCTTGCCGGTCTTATATATACGAAATAGAGGGCGTCTGGTAAACACTTGAGCCTTCACGAACGTTCTAGATACTCATTACATGTTACCAGCGTCACGTGAATTCCGCTGTTGTAACACTGCCCCTTCCTTAGTATTGTTCGTCCCGAACAATTGCCACTTACATTAAACCAATATATAATTAACAATAACTTAATTAAATGGACAGAATTTACTAACACAAAATTAAAATTAAACAAAGTCTCTTAATTTTACGGGACGTATCTTCTTCCGTACTGGCTTCTGCTTCACATGAGGTTCATCTGCTCCATCAGGAATTGTC